CATCCTGCAAGCGGTGGGAGATAAACCCCGAAAGTACGAGAAGATACTCACTAGACTTACCCATCAAAACCGAAATAAAAGACACCAAGGGTCATGCAAGGCTTATGAGGTGGGCTAGCTTGACACATTTGTATAAAAGAGCTTATGAATATAGTGACCAATTTAAACTTAGCATCAAGCTTATCATCATTTACCTATCCACTAGATTGCTTTTGTACTAGAGCACTCACTTATTAGGAGCAATCAATATTAACCATAGCAGGTATAATAAGGTTGTCATCATCATATCATCATTTTCGAACCATTATGTTATTTCGTGTATCTACTTTGGAGATAAGCCCGTCAAGTTCTCACTAACCGGGAGAGACGGCGACTGAATCGAATTACAACTCGGTGAGGGGGTATTCCAAACTCTCACCCCTGGAATACTTTGCAAGGAGGGTAGCCGTGGGTCACCTTTGGGACAACTCAGAACCAAATTGTGGGTTCGATCAGCGCCAAAGACTCTCGTGGATTACCCTTCCGCCAGACGATCGGGACTTTTAAATCACACCGCCCTTGGACTCACGCCACAGCTCCCTTCCGAGGCGCACTTTATACTTATCGACTCCGGCCTAAGGTGAGCTACTCGGCCGTGGTCGGTCTTGAGACATGGCCAACTAAGAGAGGCAGGCGCTCAACATGAACAGAAAGGCTCCAAGATTCAGTCCTTAAGCGACATAGACGGAGTCATCCTTTGAACCGGCAAGCCTCCTCCCTGGTCTTCATTTCAAATTAAGATGTGTTCTTTTCCACGATAGCAAATATAGCCAACCGTGCATATATGTATGTCCCTATATCTCGAGGGTGATAGGAAATCACCCGACTTCTACCGCGTTTAAGCAGGGCTAAGCACTACATGAACCTGAGCTACATAGGATTTAAGGTATCAATATCTGGACAAGGATTGGATAACCAATGCAGCAAGTGTTTGTATCCAACACCTAAACTTAATGCAACAATATATATATGTAATAATAATACTTTAACTGCATTTCGGAAATTAGGAGGCTTAGTATGCTCCGGGGCTTGCCTTTCACAAAGTTGCACGGACGATGATCTAGGCACTCAACGGCGACCTCGTCTGGCACTTCTCCTGAGGGCTGTACCTCCTGAACCTCCGGTGTTGGCTGCTGCTGCTCCCCGCTCGGTTCCTCGAATTCCAGCAGTGTCACTCCTTCCGGTACACCTATTGCATGCCGATGCACAAGATAAATATCATGGATGCATAAGGAATGACATGATGCTCATGATGAATGAATCGCAGTAAGTGTTTAACGAAAACATCACTGGACACTCGTTTACCGATTAAGTGTAGCTCTATTCAAATCACTTTAAAACATGTATCTAACTTAACTTGAAGAACGAGATCAACTTACCTAACTTGCATAACCTAAGATAAACATGCTCATCTTCAGTTAAAGGCCTAACACCTACGAACATTACCTCAAGCTTAGGAATAGTAAAGGTATACTTAATTCAAAAGTTAAGGTTTCACATGCAAACGAGCAGTTTCTTAATTCAATCACAACAAGAGTTCTATAATTTCAAATGACTTGCAAGAGGACATTCTGGAAAGCTTATGAAATTCTCTACAAATCATTTATAAACATCAAAGCATGATTCTTACGTTAACCAAATCGAATTAAAGTAAACATAGAATCTGTCCAGAAATGACAGGTCTACTAAATTAATTATTTAGTGATGATGCAAAAGCATAATTGGACCAAACCAAGTTTACCAACTTGTTATACATACCAGAGGAACATAAGAAAGTATAGTGCCAGCTTCTAAATAAATTATTTAATGTCCTTTTCTAATTTATTTAGTTAATTAGGTGATTAAAGCAACATATAGTAAAACTGTACAGAAAAATCTACAAAAATTACAGTAGCTACCTCATGCTTCACATAGACTACCATAAAAATTTCAAAGCAATTGGTCAAACAGAACTTGCTGTATCAAAAAATAACAGATGGCAGGGCTATTTCTAGCATAATTAGGAAACCCTATTGAAAAGTGTCGAGTAACAGACTTCACATTATTCCTAGCATCATTCTAGCATAAGAATAGCACTCACCAAATTTTACCTTTACTGGATCTATAGAAAAATTATGAAAATTCACACAAGATCCATCCATGCAAACAAGAGAATTACCTAACTCTTTCCTATAGTGTCCAAAATGTATGAAAATTTAACTACAAGTTATTCATGATATGAGCAATACACCATAAAAATTTCATGTCATTTGGAGCTACAAAGAAAAAGATATAATTACCCCTATTTCCCACATGATTAAAAGAGATAATTAGCAACTCCATTTTTTATAATAGAACATGATAAATTATATTTTTTAATATAAACTAGACATTACCAGGAACTCAACAAAATTGGAACCACATCATTTGGATCTACCAACTAGGAGATACACATTTTTGAATATATACACAAATATGTGAAAAGAATAAAATCAAACAAAAATGGAAAACCTAACGATCTACTACTGGGCCGGCCCGAAAGAACGACGGCCCACAACGCGCACCAGCGCAGCCCAGCACACGGCGCGGCCCACGCCAGCTCCCGCCTGCGCTCGGCGGCTTACGAGCGGGGCCCGACGGTCAGAGAGACAGACAGGGGAGGAAGAAGGGACGACGGCGTAACTCATCGCTGGTGGCAGCTCCAGTGAGGTCATCGGTGCTACGGTGTTCACCTCACCCATGCGCATCTAACGGTGCCATCAATTGAAGCTATTGCCGCGGCTAAAGGGGGTGGCGACGGCCATGGCGGCGCACGGCCACGGCTTGGCCGGCTCCGGCGAGGCCCGACCCCGTAGGGCGTGGCTAGGCTCGGTACGAGCTTTCGGAGTTCACTACCGACCTAAATAAGCAAGGAAGAGGGGATGGGAAGGCCGCGGTGGCAGTTGGCCGCGTGGAGCGCCAACTCCGGTGAGGTCCCGCCATGGCGGCGGTGGAAGAAATGGCGAATACGCCCTTACCAAGCCTCAAACGACCCGACAGAAAGGTGGAGGAGGGAGAGGAGATCACGGCGAAGCTAGGGGCAAGATGGCCGATGCGTTTTTGCAGTGGCGAGCGCGCAAGGCGACGGCGACGCTCGGTCGGAAATGTAGAAGCTACTGCGGCTTGTCGCTGTGCGCGGTGGAGGTGAAGGAGTGCAAATGGAGCTGACGACCCATTCGGGCAGGCGTGTGGGGTGCTCATGTCGTGGCCAGCAGCGCCAGGATGCCCACGACGCGTGGCAGCGCGGTTAGCCGACCGACAACGGGTGGCAAACACGCGGCGTTCGTTTTCTGAATGATGTCAGTTACTGTAGTTCCCATTCAGACGACTTGAACCGCCTGACAGCGCGACTTCAACGTGTCAATACGGCTAAACCGTTGATCCGTTGCAAAAACCATGTACATGAAAATTGTAGACCTACCATCCATCTCCAACTTCTATTCAAGGATCATTGTCTAATTCTCCATGGATCAGAAGTTACATCAAGCCAAAGTTGGCTTGATCCAACTGAAACTGGATTATGACTTAGCAAATTTTCTAAGTGTGAATTCAGCATGGAAATATGACTTGTGGACCTTGTTTGAACATGTTCTAGCCATTTTCATGAGATGGTCATATTGAGACTTTTGTTCCTTGATAAATTGGCTACAACTTTGGTAAAGGGTGCACAACTATGCAAGGTCTCTAAGTTGGTCTTTTGAATCAGTCAAACAGTGGCACTCTATAGGTCATCTTAAGTCAAACCTCCACTAGAGAGCATTTTAGTCATTTTGATCCACATGAACAATGTCCCATCAATTACCCTAAGTGTAGTTAAGGTGCATTAGACCATAATAAACCACTTTACACAAGTGCTACACCAACTTCTAATGATCACATGTGATGAAATAACAAAACAATCAATTCACTCAAATGTTGCAATTCCATGTTTCATATGTTTCATTACTTTTGTTGCAATTTTGAACTTGCCACATTCCTACCATGTTGCCATGTTTCAAGGTATGAGAAACTCATGTTGCATTCACATGTTGCACTACTACCATTCACAAGCAAATCAAGTATGAAACAAACAAAATTGCGAAGGTTGCATATGTATGTTTCAGTGACAATGGCATGATGACATAAATGATGCATATGTTTATGAAATGAAATGCAATTTTGTGGAAGCCAAACACCTAGGGTGTTACAGGCAAATCATATATCGGGCACATCCTCAGGGAGCATTGTTTCCTACAAATGAAGAGGAACATTACCCATAAGTACACACGCCGCCTCACAGATGACCTGGCCAGCTTTGATGAACATTACACTTAGCTTACCTCTTCTCTCTTGGAGCATGTTCACGATTGTGACCCTCACCTTACACACACAGTACATTTCTTCTTAGATTTATCTCAAATCGACTTCAACTTTTTCTTTGGGGCCCCTCTCGCCAGCACATGTATGGGATCAAAGACATCTGCAGAATCAACATCCGTGGCTTCATGCAAAGACAGACCAAACCTCTTGCCTTCGTTCTCTCCTCCATTTGGAGGATCATAGTGACTTCCTCATGAAGAACACGTTTCACCACCCATATGCTTCAAGTGATTGAGATGCTCTGAAGGATGCCGTTTGACCTGATATTGTGTAGCTCATGGTACCTCTGAGGCTATCGGAATAGTCATACATGGCGCTCTTCCTTATAGGAGGAAATCCATGCTTGGCCCCCTTGTCCACCTTTCCAAAACACACAGTGATCTGGAAGCTTGTGTTCTCCTCGACGCACCCAAAGACAAAGAAGATGTGTGAGCATGGGGTTCCAAGGGATCTGTAACTTTAGACAAGAACAAGAAATTTCCTTCAGCTTTATGCGTTCAACAACGATATCTCACATTTCACATAGTATTGTTTGTCTCCTTTATCAACCCTTCCAACAATATACTCAACAATATCATAGCCATCTAAGTCTCAATCCAATAACACTTGTCGGTTGCTTTTACGCTGTACTGCACATCAGCAAAATAAACACTTGGTGTGAACAAATTCGCAGCCTCTTTCTCAATAGTTGAAGCATCTGGTTGTAAGCATGGCTTAGAACTTGCTTGAAAGTCCAGATACGCTTCATTACTGCGCAACTTTGAAAGACAGTGGTCAACGTGCTGTATCAGCTCTAACAATGTCATTTTCCGATCTAGATTAAACTGAATCCTAGAGTGTAGGCTCTCACTACGCTGGTTGCTCCTCAGTCCTAAGTAGCACTTACCAGCATGATACGCCGCACACCAGATTTCCCTCATCTCATACATCTGGTACAACCATGAGTCCTTATCTATAACTTCTCCTTTGCCAAGAATGCTATCCATTTCCTTTCAATCTTTTCTATGGAGCAACGATCATAAAGAAAACCCTTAACCTTATCCTTTAGATCCTAGGTGTGAAGATTACGTGCAATGCACACCTCAATATGCCATACGCATAGCCTATGCGATAAATTCGGCCACACAATACTGATTGCTTTCTGCATAGCACGGTCTCCATTGGTGATCACAGAAACCGGATGCTTCTGAATCATGGCATCATAGAATGACCTAAGCAGCCACACATACGACTCAGTATCCTCGTGAGAAAGAATTCCACAGGCAAAAAGAACCGTGCTTTTATGGTGATTCACCCCAACAAAAGGAACAAGGGTCAGGTTATATCGATTCGTTTTGTACGTGCCATCAAACACGACGACATCACCAAATGCTCTATAATCCATCTGACATTGAAAGTCACACCAGAGCAGTCCCGTCAGGTGCCCTCTCCCATCAGTCTTGTACTGGAAAAATAAATCAGGCTCTCTACGTTTCGATTCTGTCATGTAACTGATGATTGTTCGAGCATCACCACCGGAAAGTGTCTCCGCCTTGTTGCAATGGCAGAAATTGTGAATGTCCCTTGATGTAAATCCAACCTTATCATACCCACCGTACCGCCTAACCATAATATCCATTATCTGGTGTTTGCGGATCTCAGAAATCTGCAGCTGCACAATCTCTGCTTTCTGATCATCACTGATTCTTCTATGTGAATGCAGAAAGCAAGCAAGGTCTGGTTCCGTCATCGGATGGTTGTGCTCGTCGATGAAATCCTTCACATACCACTGCTCTGTGTTCGGATCCTGTGCAATCACAAGTTGAGCACGGCATCCACAACGAGTGATATTCCGCGGCCTCCGCTTCTTGATCTCCCTCCTCACCTCCTTCTCTGCGCGGAAACCTTCACAACTGCAAACAAACTTTCGAAGGGTCCTCTCATTGTGGCCGTTGTCCCACTCGCAGTATTCCTTTCTCACACTAAATCCTTTCTCATAAGCGTAGTTGTTATAAAACTCAAATCCGTCGTCCTCACTGCCAAACATCTTCATAACAATTTCACTGTACTCTAGCAAAGAATCATCATCCGACATTTCCTCCTGAAAAATGAAGCTTTCATTAGGATGCACAGGTTTTCATTATTGAAATTCACTTTGCACTTGAAGTTTCAAATTCTCATTGTCTCTTGAATATTCAATTCACATGATCTACTGCCACTAGTAATATAATCCTAGATCATTAGGTGCAGCATGTTTATAAAATTGACACATTGACCCTAAACCCTAGACTCAATAGCATACCATAGCTATGTAATGAACTTAATTACAATCAAAAGACCTGCATATAGTACCAATTGCAGGGTAAAGATACTATGGAAGGGACCATGTAGCTCTTAAGTATGATATTAATTCATATAATATGCCAAATCGCCAATCAAAACCAGCTAGTGGGAGATGATCAAAGTGTATCCTGATGGCAGCATGTCTGACGGGGCACATGTAGCTGAATCCAATTAGTTGGAAACACCATACAGGTTGTCACGTGGACACGATTTAATTTATGCAGAACACCTTCAGCCCCACGCAAGGTCACACACACATGTTCACTCACTTGCAACCAAGTGAGATCAGTCTTTGTTTAAGCTTACACTTGATCAAGGGACTGAATCAACAAGATCTTGCCTATCTACTAAAAAATTAGCCAAGTAGGCCTTGCCTACTACACAGATGGCTGGAATCACATGGATTATCTTAGCATATATCATTACATTAACAAGCTCCCACATGCTTCACTTATTTTTAATCTGTCACCCTGTTTGTGCATAAAGTTTGAAAAGGCTTATGTGAATCATGTGGACCAAGTAATCTGACAGCAGATCAACCGAGGGACGATGATGGTGATGAGGCCTCATGGTCTCGACATTGAAAAAGATCCTCAAGAGGATGGTCAAGTTCAGGAATGATTGCGATATGTGGGGTTATAAAAAGTAGCATTTCACACCACAAGCGACTGACATGATTTGGCCATCACTAGTAAAATCCCTTAACCGACAATCTCTACAAAGATGATGAAAGTGTCTTAGAACACTTCAGTAACAAACTTTATAAATATCTCAAATTGGTTTATGCTATCACCACATGTTGTCGGGTCGTCACGACTTGTAAATCTTGAACAGTAAAATTTTGATTCTGAATGAAAGTAGATCATAGCTATGACACTTTCAAGGATATACATAGGGCCGAGGACAGAGCTATACTGAGGGACCTTTCAAACAGAGCTTGCAACGAGCCCAGGACGGTAATTGTAGCGTTATTTAGAGGTGTCTGTGCGGATGACTAGTGAAGCTTTACATGAACAAAGAGGCATATGAAAACTATGCAGATTAACACCAAAACAATTTTGAAATCAGAATGAACACAAACGAAATTGATTCGAGGTTTCATCATGTGATCGGATTACAGGGGAGTTGGTACCTCGAGGCTGTCCTCGGACTAGAGGGCGGCGAGGGCGCGCGGGAATCCGGCGGACTCGATGAAGGCGGCGACGGAGGCGACCACCGTGGCCCTCGAGCTAGGGGCGGGGGCAGCGGTGCGGCTGGGCCGCCGTCGCGACGAGTCTCCAGCGGCGGCTAGAGGGAGGGAGAGAGAGAGGCGTGGTCGCTAGGGTAAAGAGCAGGTCAGGGGTGGGGCGATGGCGGAAAGGGCTTGGCGCCGCAGCGGGGGGGCGGCGGTGGGCGGCGGTAGGGTGGTCGGGATCGGGCGATGCGAAAAGCGAGGGCGAGTCGGGACGACGGCGTCGGACGCGGATCAGGAGGGGGCGCGGCGAGTAGTGATATGCACGTGAAATGACCAACATACCCTTTATGATGATAATTAATATTTTATGGAGGCAATGGGAGAAAATGCGAGGCAATTTCAAGTACCGTAAAAGGGCTCATAAATATAATATAAAGGGAGAAAAACACCGGTTCGGTCAAAATGTAAATGATTATGTACAGAGCAGCAGTACTTCCGATGCAATCACAACCAAGCATTGAGATTGTCTGTCGGTTGTGATTTTGTGACCCAGGACAGTGCCCTGCTTTACAGCACTACTTCAGCAGTACTTTTCAGCGAACGAACATTGTTTTTCTCTCACAATAAATCAGCATAAGCCAAATTTCAGCGAAACGAACAGGGTGGCTTGGATTTTTTTTTTTTTTGGGAAAGACATTGGTAAATATTGAGATGAGTAGAATTATCATACCATGAGAATTTTAAGTCTGCATGAATCCTTTCCAGAATTTTAAGCCACATATGTTTTATGATACTTCATATTTCTACCACTATGAGGTAACCATCTCTTCTAAAATTGAGACTTTGTGATCTATTCAAGACTATTATGCCTATATTGACTTCACATAATCCGCTGAAAACTATTCAAGTTCTGGACATCAGATGCGAAGGGTATTCACGTGGAACCAGTTTATACTTTGCCTACTTACAATCAATAATCACAGTCATCGAACCAAGGTCACGAGCAAAAGCAGGTGAAGCCGCTCCCGAGTGAATAACAGCAACTTCACTGCATCTGCTGATACCTTCAAATGCCTGCACGCACAATCCTGAGAATCTCACCAGAGCATGGAACACATTTGGAAGGCTTGTCTGCAGATTGTTCAGTGTCATGGCTCGGCTTACTCTCACAGAGGTTAGGTATCTGGCCTTCTCCTCCTCAACCTGCTTTTTAAATGCATCCAGTTTCGTTTCATTCTTTGATACTGAATAGTGATTCTTATTTGGAGGCTGGGCTGAGTTTTGCATTGCATTTTCACTGTGTTTCTCTAACTGGGTCTGGAACTTGCTATCCATGTTATCTGACTTCTTCTTTAGTTGGCGCTCCTCACTCTGCTGTACAACTATAGAGTGTATGATTGACATAAAGGTCTTTATTGCTTCAGCTGCTACCTGTTTGTATAAATAAGGGACATCTTTTAAAGAGGGGAGAAAATAGCTAAATGGTAAGCACAACGAAGTTCTTGAAAGAATACACTAGTCCTTCAGTTCATAATGAATAAGCCACAGGTTTCTTATTCAAAGAAAAATTATATATCCTTAACCAAAAGTTGCTGAAAGCTGGGTTTCAATGGGAAGAAAAGGGCAAGTTGGATCTATCATACCTTCTCCGGTAGCCTGTCAAGAGCACGCTGGAGTTCCTCGGAGAGGCTACGGATTCCAGATGAACTTCTCATTAAGCCACCATCATCTGGAAGGCAGCCTGTGAGACTAATCCATTGGTTAAGGATGCTAATGTATTCACGCTGCAATGTGATGAGATTGCAGAAGGCATTGTGCCATCCAGACACCTCAATTTCCAGCTGAGATGTTGCCTGGCAATGACTGTCACTTGTTGGTTCACTCCCAGGTATGTTGCCAAGGAGACTAACTTGCTGGGCAATATGGTTCTGGATCTGATGGCACTCGGACATGTTTCTCCACATATGCACAAGCCTAGATCAAGAGAAGAAAGTTCAGACAAGGTAACATGAATGAAATAGTATAAAGACTCAAAATGCATAAAAAATTGTAACATCTAAGGCATTGACACTGAGCTGCAATGATAACTTGCTACATGCATTCATTTATTAATCCAAGGGCACATTCCAAGACAAAAGTTGCATTATGCATGAGGTAACTACTATCGAACAATCTAATTACAAAAAAGCTCCAGTATGACAACACTCACCATGTGACTTATACAAGTTAATAAGCCATATCTGGGAGTTCCAAATGAAATTATATGCTAATGTTAATACAAGAACAAGTACTAGTGGATGTTTCTTTTAAAATAGCAGTTTTTTAGTAATATAGTTAGCTAACTTTTGGAGCTTACCCAACAGATAGTTCAATAATCTGAGGATATAATTCCTCATCTCTGAGATTTGATATGGAAAAACACGCCAAACTCACAGCTTCCTCCAATGAGATTATCCTAGTTTGCAGTTCTTCAATAGCATCCCGAACTCTTTCTGCATGCAGTCTATCATGCTCCCCTGATTCTAGCTTTTGTAGCACTGAGACATGTTTCTTATACTGGAGCCTTGCAAATTCTTCATCCTTGCAAGATAAAAATAGTAATAATCAGCAATGCGTTGACTTTTGGTAAAGCAATAAAGTGGAAATATTTAACGATTTTGCCATCATGCTGTCGTGCTCTCTTGTTGATAGAACAAAAAAAAAAACACTGCTCACGAAATAATTTACAGATAAATTGACTCGTCAATTTGTAGCTAACAGCCAATTATTCTACTAGTCCAAGAGTTCACCTTGATTAACTTGTAGAGTTTTTGCTCCTCATCGTAAAGCTTCTCCAGCGTCTTGCCATGGTAACCATATCCAGAGGAATCACTAGAATTCAGAACTGAGGATTCGCTGTTAGCCTGCTGAGATTTCAAAGACCAGCTCCAAGAAAGCGTGGAGAAAACCTTTGCAGATTTGGAATTTTTTCCTGCACCTGGAAACAAAAAATACTATTCAGGAGTGTCTGAACACCAAGAAAGACAATGCTTCTGTCCTTTCATTTTTACTCCACTGTAACAGAGTAATGTAGTGATGCACTTGATCATGAAATGGTTTCTAATATCGGTCACTTTCCATGGATGTTGCAATACATTTACACAAAAAAAGCATCGGAGAACCAAACAGTGTAGACCAGAAGGTCCATATACAACAACTAAATCAAATAAAGATTATACATTCATAAGCCCGAAGTAACTTCTCCTAAACAGGACAAATTAAGACAGATTCTGTATAAAAGATCTGCTTTGCAATTCTTCTGAGGATGCTACAATGGTTTCAAACAGGACATTTCACACTTTTGAGTGTTGATTCTTAGAGAACAGCAGAACAGTGATATGAATTAATATTGTCAAAAAGATCAAACCATGAAATGGAGACACATTAATCAATTCAATTTCAAAACTAGTAGATGGATTCTAGATAGATATCTTGTCGTCAATTTCATTTTCCATGATAGAACACATTTTCATACACCAAATATCAAACTATTTTGCTTAATGATCCGTAGACTTTTCCAAAAGAGCATTGACACGGCAACCCCAAACAAAGAAGATTCTAGAGCAGAGATATCAAAAATACGTACATAATGATAGTACATGGGCACATATTACCTTTCTTTGCCTCTATCTCTAAGGCATCAGGCCGCCCACCAGCAGAGTCCAAAAGAACCACAACGTCATTCCCAGTTGCTGCTGCTTTCAAGAAGTACTCATCAATCTCCTTAACAATCTCTACAAGTGACTTCTTACTCCTCCAAGGCACCGCCATAGAGTCTGAATCCTTTGTCACCCAGCTCACCATTGAAGAGTTGCCATCACCCAGAGCCCTACCCTTGGCTGGATTCACATGGACCCTATCCACAATGCCGTCATCATTGCCAAGCACACTTTCATCCTCCTCTCCATCAAATTCTGTGTCTACCTCAGGATCATTGTCCATGGTAACCTGCGAGGCCACTTCTTTATCGTTCCTATCAGCAAATGGAGATGGGAAACTCAAGCAGCGCACATTGTAGGGATCCAAGTCCTCCCAATCTATGCCGGGTGGCAGGGGTGGTGGTAGAGGAGTTGAGCAGCTGTCGGTGTCATCATCATCATCAGTAAAATCACCCACATGGAGCTCATCATCCCTCTTTCTTAATCTTATTCGACTCAAAACCAGAGGTGGTGGTGGCAGCTCATTATCTCTCTTCTCCATCTTCCTAATGATGGTTATTGGACTAAAAGGGAGAGGCGGTGGGGGGTGTGGCGAGGGTGGCAATGAGGATGTCACTGAGGGTTCAGGAGGAGGAGGCGGCTGCTGTGGAGTAGGTGAGGGCGGCGCCGCAAGGTCTACGGGAGGCTGCTGTGACAATGCAGACTCCAGCTCCACAAATTGCCGGAGGGTGGCTCCTGTGTTGCGGAGGGCGTGCAGGTATGCAATGTGCGCAGCTGCAAGCTCAGGGCGGCGGCGCACGAGCTGCTTCATGAGCTGCCTCCTGTCCTTGGAGCGCCTCACGGGCTCCTCATTGTCCACTTTAGACTTGGAGCAACCCATCTGCCACCAAGGAACACAAATTCCCCACTGATTGCCTTAGAAGAACGCAGACAGCAGCACCAGCTGGAACTCCCAAAACTGGTACTTTCCCTGGGCTCGATCAAAATTGACTGAAACCGGTAACAATTCGCACTAAAACTCCAGAGCGTAGGCACTGTCCAGCCACAGCTCGTAATCATGGGACGCGCAAGAAAAAAAAAATCTCCGGATGGGTTTTACGGGTTCCTACAAAATTGGCTGAAATTGTCCTCAATCTGGCTAAAAAGGAGGGGCACACGCCAAGAAATTGGTCCTGCTCTCCAACCACCAGTAACAACAGCCTGCCAAGTCCTCTACTTTTGCACCAAAACCCGATGGAACCGGCGCTGAAACCAATTAGACAAAAAGAGATGATTCAGAACGACGAATCAGTCACGAGGAGGAACAAAACCAAGATGGTGACGCGGACAAACAGAGATTCTTGAATAGAAGTATGCTGTGGCTGGCTGGTTGCCTTACCAGAGAGTGGCCCGATTGAAGAAATGCTCCGCGGTCAGCAACTTACTGTTGGTGAGATTGGAAGCTAAGCCGGGCCGAGGAAAGAAGGATCTAGACAGGCGGAGGAGAAGAATATGCCGCCCACAAAAAGAGAAGAGAGAAAGATGGAGGTAATTGCATCATGTGATTCTTACTCACTCCCAAGAAGCCATCTCTCTTTCCCATCTCCTCTCTCTGAGAGAGAGCAGGCAACAATGGGGTGAGAGAAAGTGGAGCACCGGCAATTGGGGCTTGTGGTGAGAGAGAGAGAGAGGGAGAGGGATCAGCGGCGGCAGCCAGCCGGCAGGAGCAGCAGGGTGAGAGGAAGGGGAAAGAAAGAGAAGGCGTGGGATTCAGTTTGCGCAATAATAATAAGAGATTTTTCCCGTGTGCCATTATAAAAGATCGTAATTTCTTATGTGTCTCTGAAAAAATTCAGCGGTCTTCAGCGTCACAACTCTAATTTTTTCGGGTCCTCCATGCCACTTCCGTCAGTTCAGGCTCTAACATCGTCAAACTACAGGTGTGAAAAGACGAAAATGTCCTTCAGTTCAAATATGTTATTAATTTTTTTGAGCATCTTAACGACTTTAAATGAAAAAACTCAAAACTAGAAAGTTGTAGATCTCGTCGAGATCTATAATTTTCATATAAAATTTATTTTCATTTAATTCCGCAAAAAAATATGATGATTTTTCTAAGATATATTAATCATATCAAATCATATTTTTTTTGTGGAATTAAATGAAAATAATTTTTATATGAAAATTATAGATCTCGACGAGATCTACAACTTTTTAGTTTTGAGTTTTTTTCATTTGAAGTCGTTAAGATGCTTAAAAAAATTAATAACATATTTGAATTTAAGGACATTTTCGTCTTTTCACATCTGCAGTTTGACGGCGTTAGAGCCTGAACTGACGGAAGTGGCATGGAGAACCCGAAAAAGTTGGAGTAGTGGCGCTGAAGACCGCTAAATTTTTCCAGAGGCACACAAAGGATTATGATCTTTTATAATGGCACACATGAAAAAGTCTCTAATAATAAAGACAGTGGGAGGAAAAAGTGCACCGCAACGCAAGGGCAGTTGGACGGTGGACCCGTGGTGGTGTAGGAATGTGATCAGAGCTGCCACTTTCCACCACTGACACCGAAACTACAGGCCTGGCTGCCTCCAGAGCTCCCCTTGTAGCTGTGCCTGTGTGCCCCCTCCTCGCTTTTTCGTTTTGCCCTTCCTCTCGCCTCTTTGCTTTGCTCTTGTTTAGGTCCACACTCCACTCCATCTCCACCCACCATCACGGATAAGGATTAAAAACAGCGTAATGATGATAATTAGTGCTGCCGTATTTGTTGAAATTTGAGAAGGCCTATGGCGTATGGGCTATTGACCACCGGTGTTTCGACGGACTACAGGGGTGGTTTCAGAATGATTTGAGTCTAATGATGATGCATCTGTATTTAATTGAAGGAAAGCACATTTCCATGCCAACGGCCAACCTATTTGTTAATGTAAACAGAGGCTCTTCTGGTTTTGAGTACGATCATGCCATATTGCCATGGAAATGTGCTTTCTAGGATTATTAGGTGAGAGACAAGTTTGGGTTTGCTTGTAGGGTGCCACTACCTGTTTGTTCAGGCACACTTTTTTTCTTCTTCTTTTGGTCGAGGCAGGCTGACTCAACAACAGCAGATACGATACGAGAAGGATGGGGGAGGAGCACCGACTGCACCGAGCACGCACGGCACGGCATCTGTTTGGTTGTACAGACTCTATCTAATACATATAGGATTTCAGATAAACACGAGCCACCAAACAGATGAGGTTTGATGAAATGGAGACGCTGGGTGTTGACACAGCCAGAGCCAGTGGCTGCACGTCTTGGAGAGTGTTCTTTCAGCCACCACCTCTCGTAACTGCCGCCGTTCTTCACCTTGAAGCTTGTGCACGACTCTTTGCCCTTCTATTCCGTACTCTGTCTCGCTCGGTCGATGTCCGATGTTTAGGGGTTGTTCGGCAAGACTTTTTTTTTGAGCGCCTGCTCAAGCTGTGGCTGCGGCTGCCTCATACAGGAGTCTGCAAACAACTTGCAGCGAACGCAGCCTTAAGATCTGAAGCACGTTTTCTTAAAAAAAAAGATCTGAGCACGTACAATGGGGATGACCATGAAAAAAGGAACAACAATATGCTTTACCCACAAAAATACAAAATGGCATGTCCACCGGAGATATCTCCGATTGCGATGCATTTGAATATGAATATATAAAGTGTTACATGCACCAACAAATAAATTGGTGAACTTTGCCATTCAATTTCAAGTTCTTGACTTAACAAATGTGCTTATATTTTTCTAGATTTATTTCTATATTTAAAAAATTGTTCGTAGTAGTAATAAGTGTCATGTTTGTATACAGCAACATACTTAAGATAACTTCGTCAATCTTAAGATACCAGTTTAGTCTTTGAGAGTTGCTTACAGGGATAAGGTGGTGAGTTTGATACCAAGATTGGTAAAAAAAATGATATATAAGCGTTTGGAGATGGCCTAATTGTTCGGAGGAGCTTATACAAAGGTAAAGTATGATTTTGTCAATTTTACTTAGGGTTGATTAAATATCTTTGGCAAGTGTTCTAGATTAGACCAAAATTTGAAAAAATGATCCTCACCTCATTAATTGACATTGATAATCTTAATCTATCTAAAATTGAACATTTGTGGTCATTGATGACAAAGGGGGAGAAATTAGTGCACAAAGATAGAAATAAAATGACAAAGGAGATAACTTTGACATAGGAGGAGAAATATAAAAGTAAGGGGATCAATTAAAATTTGAGCACACAAGTAGGGGGAGCAAGCTCATAAACTTGATTGATGCATTTGAATGTGCATTTCATATGTTTGCTTGCATGTCACAAGTTTTAAATTAAAATTCCATGTTTGTGTGGTGTATGCTAGTTGTAGGTTTGAATGATGAAATGAAAAACTAGCGTGTATAGGTGATAGTTAGATATGCCTTGCTTACTTGGTTTGTTTTTCACAAGTGGTGCTAGAACATTGCTTATAATGTTGATCTCACGAGGTATCTAGTGTTTGTGTTTCGCAAGTAATTCCAAGCGGTATCTAACTAGCAATGGTGCTAAGGATGGTATATTTGGTGCACTCCGATTGATATTATGCTTTAAAGGTCCATCTCTTATACCTTAGCATCATTTGGTAGACATTACTCTCCCACAACTCAAATCCATGCATATGTGCAAGCTTCAATCCAAACTCTTTGCACATATGTAGGGGGAGCTAATGCTACCAATTTGGGGTTCATGAAACTTATCCAAATCCTTTTACACATAGTAAATATGCTCGGGCAAGCAACATGGATTTAATTGGATTTCAATTTATATCTTTGTGAAAGGGTTGTCATCAATTACAAAAAAGGAGGAGATTGAAAGCTCTAATTTAGTTTTGGTGAATTGATGAAATCCTAAAGTGCTAACCTATTACTCTAGTAATTATGAGATAGGTAGCACATTCCAAGTGATGGAGCAAATGGAGAAGATCATGGTGACAGTGGAGTCCATGGAAATGATCAAGTGCTCGGGCTTGGAAAAGAAGAAAGAGAAAAATAAAATGGGCTCAAGGCAAAGGTATAATTATAGGGCCATTTTGTTTTCGGTGATCAAGACACTATAGAGAGTGTGATCACATTTAGGATAGATGGTCATACTATTAAGAGGGGAGCTCTTATCGGATAACTCAATCATCTAGTGCCACTAGGTGTTGGAATACATGCATATGCATTTAGGCCTAGTGCACAATCGGTGAGAAGTGATTAACCTTTAAAAAATATTTATAAAAATGCTAACACATTTGCACGTGATGGTGAAACACATGGAGTGTTAACACATTTATAAAGGTGGTGAAAAAGGTGAAGCGAAGGAGGCAAAAATTGGCTTGGGGTGCTGCCACGGGGGCACCACCACCCTTGTGGCGATGACCGGCTGGGAGGCCGAGAGCAGCGGGTTGCCTGTAACAGAACCGACCAATTATACGAAATTAAGTAAGAAAATCATCCGCCAGAGCAGACGATTTAGCAAACTTCAGCCCGTATAACCCGGTAGTTCGTGAAATCTCGAAGGATTTCAAACCAACTTCCATTCCAGCCAAGATCGTAATAAGTTTAGCGGTCACCGTTACATATTACATAAAAGTTCGCAATCTCAGATACATCAGAGTTTCAACATAGTTATTACAAAACAAGTTCGAATAAAAGTAGCGGAAGCCATTTGTTCAAACCACACACACACTCACGCGGAGTTCAAATATAGTGCCAGCGAATGATCATCTCCACACAAAAGCATCAGACGAGACGTAAGGAATGACCATGCCCATGGTCCTAAGCATCACCCATCGCAGGATACAGGCAGTTGATACAGTAGCCGTAATACATCTGCCCATCTGCAACAAGTGGGAATAAAACCCTGAGTACGA